GAAGGAGAAGGGGAAGGGGAAGGGAAAGAAAAGCAGGCAGACCAGATGGAAACAAAAAGAGTGAACCCTGCGGAGGCAGGAGAAGAATGAAACAAAAGACACTCCATAAACTGTGAAGTCAGTGACAATGCTTGCTGAAAAGGGAGCTGGCTTTATTTGCCTTTGTCTTGTTTCGTGGAAATAAAGAGCAAGGCTGAACCCTCGCAGGAGACACTGTGTGTCTGTCGCACTTGCTGCTGTGTCCTTGGACAGCCTGCCGCAGAGGAGGCTGAGCCATGAAATACAGATTCTGTGTTTATCTCATAGAGAGAAATGGAGAATAAAACCCGAGGGATGACAGGAGGCCCTGAGGAGACCTGGAGTAGATCCGAGTTCACTCTGAGAGGACAGTGAGATGTCCTCAGACACAGGCAGGGAGTGGGGAAACACAGAGGCTTACCATGATGGAGGAAGACTCCGCCCCACCTCATGCTGAACAGCATCAGTACTGTGAGAAAAGGGAAGAGCTATTTCCTGAACTCAGTGGGGAAGATTCAGGGTGGATTCCGTTACCGTGATCACCAGGAATGGGATAGAAACCCAATAGGTATAAAAGGAAACTTCTGGAATAATAAGTAGAACCAAATTCAGGGGCTACTGGTTCTACTTAAGTCACAACCCATTGCCTAGAGGAGGGCATGCTGAGACACGCACCTGCAGTGGGCTTGGACCATGACAAGTCAACCCCATCAAGGTCAGCCAGTTCCTCCTCCGCCTGGGTGAGGGAGACAGAGAAGATGCGCACAGACTGGTAGGCGGCAGAGTCAGACAACTCCTTTGAGCTGTTAAAGATCTAGAGGAGAAATCAGAGGGTCAGATAATCTGATAGAGGGTAAACTGGCTTGCAACTTCTCAGAAAACATATCTTCTAATCCACGGAAATCCTTCTGATACTTGATATGCTGAGAATAAGTGAATAACCTAAATCGGTAAATGGGCTATACCGAACATCTGGATCCGGGTGTCTCTGTCCAGCAGAGACAATGAGATGAATCACATTCCAGAAGACAGTTCACAAACAATGAAACCTGTGATCTTCCACTGCAGGTCTGTCCTGGACAAGAACAGCTGTATAAGGATGAGGCTAAAGAACACTACGGGGGACTAGAGAGGTGCCTCAGCTGTTAAGAGCACTGCCTGCTCTTCCAGAGGTCCTGAGTTCAATTCCCAGCAACCACATGGTAGCTTACAACCATCTATAATGGGATCTGATGCCCTCTTTTGGTGTGTCTGAAGACAGCTACAGTGTACTCGTGTGCATAAAATAAATAAATCTTTAAAAAAAAAAACACTATGAGTTACATAATTATCTTTTTCCCCCATGGTTCTGGGGACTAAACCTAAGGTCTAGAGAATGCTGGGTAAACCCTTAACTACTACACTCGAAACCCATATGTCTCGAAACCCATAGATTGCTTTAACTTAAAACTAAAAGGCTCCCCTAACTGACATATGATAACACAAAGCGTTTGAATTAACAATGGTATTTAGGGAATCTCTGTGGAGACAACATAAAAGACTCCGTGACTTACGTAATCTATATACCATACAAAAAAAACAGATCCCAAAGAAACACACCAAAGAAATGTGGCAACTAGGTTATTCCCACCTCGGTCCTGGAGGGTAGTTACCAAGGAAAAGGTTGGTAAGTGAGGTAATCTGAAAAGTGATGTGTAGGAGGCGGCTTCTGACAGAGAGAAATGTGTCTGTCCAAAGAAACCACATTTCCCCAAGCCACTTCACAAACCCTCATGACACAGCGGGTTGGGTTGTTTTGGGTTATTGTTGTTGGGTTGTTTTGGGTTATTGTTGTTGGGTTGGTGGGTTGTTTTGGGTTACTGTTGTTGGGTTATTCTGGGCAAGAATGTATGCACCATATTGAATGACTTACTTTTTAGGTCTATTAAGCCCCATTCCACTGCCACTATTCCCATACCACTATTTCCTTTCATCTTGGTTTCTTGCATCATCATTAGGTTTTTGTTGTTGGGTTGTTTTGGGTTATTGTTGCTGGGTTGGTGGGTTGTTTTCGGTTATTGTTGTTGGGTTGTTTTGGGTTACTGTTGTTGGGTTGTTGGGTTGTTTTGAGT